GGGGGAGGGGTGGTCGGAGGAGGGACCCCCATCCTTAGGGGATCTGAAAGACGTTGAGCTTGCTCGTGTTCTTCAGCGTCTGGCGGCGGTTGCAGAACCACACGCGGACCACCTCGCGGTCGTAGTTGAGCTCCTTGGCGATCTCGGTGATCTCCTGGCCCGTGGGCAGAGCGTTCTTCTCAAAGTAGGCGTTGAGCGCCTCGATGGCCTGCGGTGTGAAGGACGTGCGGCGCTTGCGTTTCTTGGAAGGCTCCCCGCCGACAAACTCCATCAGGTTCTGCTGCCCCTCCTGGTTGCGCAGCTCCGCCTCGCTCAGCCATTTCTCCAGCACCGGCTTCAGCTTCTGAGCGCTTTTGGGGGTGATGTCGAGCTTCTCGAACCTGCGGGGCCACCACGGAGTCACCGCACTGCTGACAGCGTTGTACCCAAACCCAATCCCAAACACAAACCTTGAGGCACTACTTGAGCTCTGGCTGCTTGAGACTGACCACGGCCTTGGGGAACGGCCTTGTAAGAAACCCATCCTTCCAACCCAACCATCCCACGGTTCTGTGATCTTTCAGGACCCTTCCAACCCAACCATCCCACGGTTCTGTGATCTTTAAGGACCCTTTCAACAAAACCATCCTGTGGTTCCGTGACCTTTCAGGACCCTCCCAACCCAACCATCCTGTAGATTTATGATGTTGAAAGACCTTTCCATCCCAACCACCCTGTGGCTCTTTGACTTTTAAGGACCCTCTGAACCCAACCACCCCATGGCTCTATGACCTTTCAGGACCCTCCCAACCCAACAACCCCACGGCTCTCCAACCTTTTAGGACCCTCCCAATTCAAGCATCCTGTAGATTCATGATGTTGAAAGACCTTTCCATCCCAACCACCCCACGGCTCTACAACCATTCAGGACCTTCCCAACCCAACCACCCCATGGCTCTATGACCTTTCAGGACCCTCCCAACCCAACCATCCCCCCGTCCTACGCTCCCACATGGGGTGGCTGCAGTGCTGCCCCATCTCCACGCCGCACCTGCAGATGGCAGACTGGCTGTACGCCGGTCCCTCGGTGGCCGTCAGCGCCTGCCCCACCTGTGTCTGCGTCAGCCCCAGGGACAGACGCCGGATCTTGAAGTTCTTGGCAAACTCCCGGATCTCCTCCAGGTTGATGCCGTCCTCCTCGGCGCTGCTGTTGGGCGCCACGGGTTCTGCAGGCGGACATACGGTGTGAGCGGTGACGGATCCCACTGCACCTCCCCACCCCAAAGGGGAAACCACCCCCCATCCACCCCTCATGGGAGCGGAGTGACTCACTGGACACCAGCTGGCTGACGGTGGGGGTCTCCGAGCAGGTGATGGGGATGGGGGCCGGGGTCGCCTTGGCTGCTGGGGCTGGGCTGGCGATGACCACAGCTGGCTGGGACAGAGCTGGGGCCGGCTGGATGGGCTGCACCTGGGGGTCAGAGCAGTGTCCCCAACCCAGCCCCATAGCATCCCTATGGGGTGATTGTCACCCTGCAGGTACCAGGAACACATGGAGGACAGCAGCGTCCTTATGGGGTGATTGTCACCTGCAGCTACCAGGGACAGACAGGGACAGCAGTGCCCCAAACGCAGCCCCACAGCGTCCCTATGGGGTGACTGTCACCCTACTGGGACCAGGAACACACGGGAGGACAGCAGTGCACCCAACCCAGCCCCACAGTGTCCTTATGGGGTGACTGTCACCCTGCAGGTACCAGGGACAGACAGGGACAGCAGTGCCCCCAGTGCAGCCCCCCCTATGGGATGACTCAGTGGGGCCGGGCCAATCCACGCCCCATGGATGCGCTCACCCCTTCCCGTGCCCGACGCTCACCTCACTCTTGCTGGGGGTCTCGGGGGGGCTGCTCTTTTTGCCTGCGGCCGCCTGGATGGTTCCACTGGCCAACGTGGCGATCACTTGGCCCTGGGCATTGAGCAGCAGCTGCGGGGTCACCGCCTGCACCTGCAGGCTGGGGGTGGGAGCCGGGCTGGCTGTCGCGATGCCAGGGGGGTTCACGACCCAGGGGAGGGTCCCGATCACCTGGGGAGCAGGAGGCAGCGTGAGCTGCGGGCGGCCATCCCCCAAACGACCATCCCCGCAGCGCCGACTCCTCCCCTACCCCCGGTTAGCGGTACCTGTCCCTGCGCGTTGGTCAGGAGCTGCCCCGCGATGCTCTGCACGCTGGGGATGGTGTTGGCGATCACGGGGGCGGCCGCCAGAGAACCGAGGAGCTGCGTCTGACCCCCTAGGGAAGCGGCACCGATCTGCGGGGGGAGCGAGAGGAGCCGTCACCCCACCGGCCCACGGCCAATGTGGGTCGTTCCCCCCCCCCTCCGTGCCCGCCCGGGACAGCAGAGAGGGCTCAGCATCCCACGGAGATGGGGAAACTGAGGCAGGGGAGGGACGCCGGAGGGGCACGGAGCCCCTCGCCCACGGCACACGGGGTGGCAAACGCGGGGGGAGGGGTTGTGGGGGCTGCCCGGCTCCTTACTATGCCCGGGTTAAAGGCGAATCCGGCTGGCTGCACCGCGATCTGGGGCTGCGTCTCCAGCGGTTTCGCTGCGGGAGCGGCGTTGGGTTGCGGTAGGATGGGGGGGGGGCGGGGGGGGGTCCGAGCTCTCCGGCTCCGGGGGGGGGCGGGGGCGGCGCGGGGGGCCGCGGGGCCGGGATGGCCGTGTTGAGGACGGCGGCGGCGGCTGCGAGGAAAGAGACGGGAAGAACGTGAGAGGGGCAGGAGGGGACGCAAAGCCGCCTGCGGGTTCGGCTCCGTCCGTCCCGTCCCGAGGATGCTGCGGGTCAGCCGGCAGCCCGGCGCCCCCCCACACCTCCTCCCCCGCCCCCCACCAACCCAGGGATGGATCCCTCCGCCCGGCTCTGCACCCACAGAGCCCATACTGCTGACCCCGGGGGTGGGGGGGGGGAAGGAGGAGGGGGGGGTTCCCAGCCCTGAGCCCGGAGCCCCGAACCGGACCGTGACCCCACGGCTGCCCCCGGCCCCGAACCCCGCGCCGGTCCTCGTCTCACCCCACCGCCATCCTCCGTCCTGCCCGCCCCTCTCCCGCTCTCCCAGCACCTTTCGGACGCGGGGGGGTCCCGACAAACCCTGCTTCTTCCAACGCCCGCCATTAACCACCGGTGCAGACCCCTCCGGGAGAGGACGGCCGCGGTTCGGCGCAAGCCGGGGAGGAGCAGGCGTGCAATTAAGGATGCTGCAAAGCAGAAGAGCACCGGTTACCTTGCAGATTGGCTATAGGCGGTTTGAAAATTCCCCCTGTAGGAGAAGCAGCCGTCAGTCCGGGAAGGGCAGCGACCGTTGCTGTAGGAAATGTCCACACAGCCAGCCCCTGCTGACCTGCCACTTGACCTGCAATACTGATGGGGATAAGAAGAGGTTGAGTAACTGTCCCTGCCGGAACCATTACTCCTGTCACAACTGTTGCTAAGTTTTCCTGAGTCAAGACCTGCAAAAGCAAACAAGATTTAAAAAAGAACAAAAATCAACTCCACTGCAGACAGCATCAGCGAGGCAAGAGCGAGCGCGGCCGGTGCTCCCTCCCATCTCACAGCTGGGATCCCAGCTCTGCCGACCCCCCCCCTCCCCCCCTTCCCCCCCCCCCGCCCCCAATAAGGGGGTGATGCTCCCCACCCCATCATCCCGGCCCACCCCCTCGCGTCGCTCTCTGGCAGCACCTCGGGGGGAGGGCGCCGAGCGGGGGATGCAGCGGTGGTCCGGGGGGCGGCTCCACACCCCGTGCCAACGCTGCGCTGTTGCGCCCCCGACCCGCGGCCCCGTGTGCGTGTGTGCGCGTCCCCATATCCAGCAAGCTGCACCCCCCCCCCCCCCCCCCGGCCCACCCCCCGTAGTTACCTGCGGGGCTGTTTGCACGGCCAGCGGGGCCAGGGGCTGTGGCTGTTGGCTGCTGGAGGGGCTCAGGGTGCCCGTTGTGCCGGCGGGGACTCCGGTTGGAGGCTTGGCTTTGCCTGGGGAGGGGGAGGAGAGGGGATCAGCACGCAGAGCGGGAGGATGGGGTGGGGGTGTTGTGTTAAAAAGGGTTGGCAGAGATAAGCTCCGGTGTCCCAGTAGTGGAGGGGGTGGGGGTGCCCACATTGGCACTCAGTCCCATTGCACTCAATATATGAACTCTGGATTCCACCCTGGTTCCCCCCCTGGAATGCAGAGCAGCTCCATCTCAGTGACCCACACGGCTCCATGGGGAGTTGGGCTGTGCTCAGTGGGAACGACAGGACGAGGGGCGATGGGAGACACTGCGCTGGGGGGGTCAGGTTGGACATCAGGAACAATTTATCCTCTGGAAGAGTGGTGATGGGAGGGGTGGGTGGGGGGTCCCCATCTCTGAGAGATGCTGAAGAACAGAGGAGATGCGGCGCATGGAGATGTGGCAGTGGGCATGGGGGGGGGGGGGGGGGAGGGTTGGGCTCGGGCTCGGTGGGGGGGCTGGAACTCAGAGGTGTTTTCCAATCTCAACGCTTCTGCAGATGGGGACAGTGATTGGAGCAACGGCTTCTTCTGGATTGTGGCCATGGAGTGCAGCGCATGCAGAGCACACACGAGGACCAACAGCCTGAGCAGTGCAGGCAGCCAAACCATGGGCTGACTCAGCGAGGTTTGTGAGCTGAGCTTCAACAAAATCAGAGTCACAGAGTCACAGGACGGTGGGGTTGGAAGGGAGCTCCAGGATCACGGAGCTCCAACCCCCACCAATGCAGGGCCACCAACCTCCACGTTTCACAGCAGCCCAGGCTGCCCAGGGCCCCATCCAGCCTGGCCTCCAACACCTCCAGGGATGGACGGGGCATCGCAGCCTCTCTGGGCAGCTGTTCAGCCCCTCACCGCTCTCACAGCACACAACTTCCCTGACATCCAACCTCCATCTGCCCTCCCTCAGCTTCATTTCCCCTCGTCCTGCTGCCATCTCCCCTTGCACAGAGCTGCCTCCCCTCCTGGCTGCAGGCTCCCTGCAGGCACTGCAGGCTGCACTGAGCTCACCCCCAGCTTCTCTTCTCCATGCTGAATGAGCCCAGCTCCCTCAGCCTGGCTTTGCAGGGAGCTGCTGCAGCCCCTGCTCATCTCCAGCTCCTCTGGACCCTCTCCAACAGCTCCCTGCCTTTCCTGTCCTGGGGGCTCCAGCCCTGGGCGCAGTACTGTAGATGGGGCCTCACAGAGCAGAGCAGAGGGGGACGATCGCCTCCCTGTCCCTGCTGCCACCCCTCTGCTGATGGAGCCCAGGATCCCATTTGCTTTCCGAGCTGCAGTCACACACTGCTGGCTCACGTTCAGCTTCTCATCCCTCGGGACCCCCAGGTCCTTCTGTGCAGGGCTGCTCTCAAGGATCTCCTTCCAGTCTCTATGGATGCCTGCCATTCCTCCGGCCCAAGTGCCAAACTCTGTCCTTGGCCGTGCTGAACCTCATCAGCTTCACCCTGCCCACCTTCCCAGCCTCTCGAGGTCCCTCTGAACGCCATCCCCTCCTCCCACAACCCAGTCACAACACCTCACAGCCGGGTCGAGGTAACCCTCCCCACCAACACAACACAGGGGCGCGGAGCCGCGCTGTCTGTGACGCTTTATGCTCTGCAGGAGGATGAGGAGGGCTGACTTTGCTACCCGGTGACCGAGCGAGGCCATTCGGTTTGCTGCCAAAAGCCAACCTGCCGTCTCTGTGCCGCGCTGCGTTTCGGCGCTGGGCTGCCCATCCTCGGTGCCCGCATCGCCGCTCCGTGCCGGCGATTCCTGCAGGTCGCTCCCTGGTGGTGGCGCCGCCGCTGCTCTGCGCTCCTCCTCGGCATGAGGTGCGGCGTCCACACCGACCTCTAGCACACGGATGGTTTCATGGCCGGACATGACGATGACCTGAGGACACCCAAAGTGACTCAGCTCCAGAAGGGGGGGGGGATTCCATAATCACAGAATCACAGAACGGTTGGGTTGGAAGGGACCTCAAGGATCACGAAGTTCCAACCCCCTGCCACACGCAGGGCCACCAACCTTCACATTTAATCCCAGCCCAGGCTGCCCAGGGCTCCATCCAACCTGGCCTTGAACACCTCGAGGGACGGGGCAAATCCTTCCCCCACATCCCCAAGGGGAGCTCGAAGCCCCCGAGCACAGCGGGGTCCATTTCTCTGCTCTCTTAATGAGCAGCTGAAGGGCTCTGCTGTCATTAACCACAGCACTGGGGGAGTGTGATGTCTTCAGAAGATCCCCCCCACAGGGGCAGCAAACATTGCGATGGCATCAAACAGCACCAGGCAAATGCTGAGCACCGACCTCAGGGTCGGAGTGACCCCATGGGACACACAGAGCCGACCCAGGGGCACTTCCATCGCATCTCCCATGGAACTTTGCTTCTCTGGATGATGGAGCGACCAACCGTGGGGCTGCCCACCTCCCCCAACCCCCTCCCCTCCCCCCCCGGGGACCCATACCTGCTCATTGACCGTCAGCGGGGCATCCTGGCTCCGCACAGCCGCGGCGTCCATTGCGCACTCCCCAGGAGGTGGCGGAGGGTGGGGGTCCGGCTCACACCTTCCTCATGCTGCAAGGAAGGGACACAGCCCACATCATCCCCCACCCACCCGGAGCATCGCTCCTTGGGTTGAATTTCCCCTGGTACTGGAGGTGCAAGGAAGCGTTCCGAGCAGGAAAGGCTCACACACCTGTTGGTGGGGGGCTCACGCATCATTTGGGGGCCTCACGCACCCACTGGGGGTCTCACACACTCACTGGGGGTCTCACATACTTACTGGGGTCCCACTTTCCTGTTGGGGTCTCCTACAGCCACTGGAGGGTCTCACACACCTACGGGGGTCTCACACACCCATTGGAGGTCTCACACACCTGTTGGGGTCTCACACTCCTTCTGGTGGTCTTGAACACCAGTTGGGGGTCATCACACCCACGGGGATCTCACACACCCATTGGGGGTCTCATACACCGGTTGGGGGTCTCCACACCCATGGGGGCTCACATTTCTGCTGGGGGTCTTACACACCCATTTGGGGTCTCACTCACCCATGGAGGCTCACACATCCACTGGGGTTTCACAGCTATTTGGGGTCTCACACATTCATTTGGGGTCTCACACACCCATTTGAGGTCTCACACACCCATGGGGGCTCACACATCCATTTGGGGTCTCACACACCCATTTGGGGTCTCACACATCCATTTGGGGTCTCACACACCCATTTGGGGTCTCACACATCCACTGGGGGTCTCACACATCCATTGGGGGTCTCACACACCCATGGGGTCTCACACCTCCATTTGGGGTCTCACACACCCATGGGGTCTCACACACCCATTTGGGGTCTCACACATCCATTGGGGGTCTCACACACCCATTTGAGGTCTCACACATCCATTTGGGGTCTCACACATCCATTTGGAGTCTCACACACCCATGGGGTCTCACACACCCATTTGGGGTCTCACACATCCATTGGGGATCTCACACACCCCTGGGGGCTCACACTGCTGTTGGGGGCTGCGCTCCCCCTCCTCCCTCCTGCATTCATCCTTTGGTCCCCCACTGCCTCCCATTAGCAAAGTGCCTCCATAAGAGGTGGACGAGCATCTGATGAGGGACGTGTTTCACCCCGCAGATGGGTGACATCCACCACTGTCACCACGTCCTGGTGGCCATCACTGCCACCACCTGCCCTGAGGTGGGACAGAAAGAGAACTGCAGGAAAATCTTTTTGAACCTCAGAAAGAGGTTGAAAAGGGCGAGGAACGCGGCCTGGAGAGGGCGTGGGTCACCAACTAGGGGGGTCCTCAATAAACGGGACTTTTCCTGGGCACTCTGCTCCTACACCAAACCCAGGGGCTGCACCGGATGGGAACGCTGTAATGGGAACGTCCTGATGGGAATATCCTGATGGGAAAATCTGGAGGAGAACACCTGGATGGGAAGACTGTGATGAGAAGATCCATATGGGAACATCCACAAGGGAACATCCATATGGGAACACCTGGATGGGAACATCCAGATGGGAACACCATGATGGGAAGACTGTGATGAGAAGATCCATACGGGAACATCGACATGGGAACATCCACACGGGAACATCCATATGGGAATATCCTGATAGGAACATCCATATGGGAACACCATGACGGCAAAACTGTGATGGGAACATCCACATGGATGAGAAGAACCATAGGACATCATCCATATGGGAACACCTGGGTGGGAAGATCACGATGAGAAGATTCAGATGGGAACATCCAGATGGGAACACGTGGATGGGAACATCCTGATGGGAACATCCATATGGGAACACCTGGATGAGAAGAACCATATGACATCATCCATATGGGAACACGTGGATGGGAAGACCACAATGAGAAGATCCACATGGGAACATCCAGATGGGAACACCCAAATGGAAATACCTCAATGGGAACATCTGGATGGGAACACCCAGATGGGAACATCCTGATTTGAACTCCTGGATGAGAAGACTGTGATGAGAAGATCCATATGGGAACATGCACATGGGAACATCCATATGGGAACACCCAAATGGAAATACTTCAATGGGAACACCTGGGAATGGGAAACATCCATATGGGAACACCATGATGGCAACACCCACATGGGAACACCTGGATGGGAAAATCCTGTTGTGAAGACCTGGATGGGAAGACCTGGATGAGAACAACTGTAAGACATCATCCATGTGGGAGCACCTGGATGGGAACATTCAGATGGGAACATCCTGATAGGATCATCCATATGGGAACACCATATGGCAAAACTGTGATGGGAACATCCACATGGATGAGAAAAAACATAGGACATCATCCATATGGGAACACTTGGGTGGGAAGATCATGATGAGAAGATGCAGATGGGAACATCCAGATGGGAACAGCTGGATGGGAATATCCAGATGGGAATATCCTGATAGGATCATCCATATGGGAACATCCGCATGGGAACAGCAAATGGAAACACCCTGATGGGAAAGCCTGGATGGGAACGTCCTGACGGGAACATTGTGATGGGAAGATCCATATGGAAACATACAAAAGGGAACACGTGGATGGGAAAATCCATATGGGAGAAGTCCTGGATGGAAGCACCTGGATGGGACATCCATATGGGAACCCACGTATAGGAATGCCTGGATGAGAAGATCCATATTGGAACACCCAAATGGGAACATCCTGATGTATGGGAACGGCCTGATGAGAACACCGTGATGGGAAGATGCAGATGGGGACACCTGGATGGGAAGATCCACATGGGGACAGCCCAAATGAGAACATGGGGATGGAAAATCTGGATGGGAACATTGGGATGGGACCCTCCATCAAGCAGGGCCTGGCCAATGGTGAGCAGAGCAGAGCAAGGAGACCTGAACTGACTGCATGGGGCAGGGGTGCAGGGAAATGTGGGTGGAGAGTGGGAAGAGAGGAACCTGCAGCAGTGGGTTGTGTTAAAGGGTCCTTAAAGATCATAGAACCATGGACTGGTTGGGTTGGAAGGGTCCTGAAAGATGATAAAGCCATGGGATGGTTGGATTGGAAGGGACCTCAATGGTCATAGAACCGTAGGATGGCTGAGCTGAAAGGGTTCTGAAAGATCGTAGAACCATAGGATGGTTGGGTTGGAAGGGTCCTGCAAAGATCATAGGACTGTTGCAGAGTCGGGATGAAGGGGTTCTGGAAGATCACAGAACCACAGAATGACTGAATTGAAAGGGCCTTTAAAGATCACATAACCACTGGATGGTTGGGTTGGAAGGGTCCTTGAAGCTCACCCGATTTGACCCCCCCCCAACCCCCCCCATGGATGCTGCAGGGCGCTCTGGGGGCCCCCAGTTCTCACTCACGGTTTGCTCTGAGCACCGCAGACCGCTGTTGGGTTGGGGATGTCCCAGTCCTTCGGCGGCACTTGGGGTCACACTGTCAGCTGTGGGGAAAGAGAAAGCAGAGCTGAGGCCATGGGGCTGAGAACCATCTCCATCCCATTCCCATCCCCATCCCCATCCTCACCCCCACTCCATCCCATCCCATCCCATCCCATCCCATCCCATCCCATCCTCATCCATATCCTCATCCCCACTCCCCTCCACTCCCCTCCCCTCCCCTCCTCTCCCCTCCACTCCACTCCACTCCACTCCATCCCATCCCACCCCATCCTCATCCTCATCCTCATCCTCATCCTCATCCTCATCCTCATCCATATCCTCACCCCCACTCCACTCCACTCCATCCCATCCCATACCACCCCATTCCACCCCATCCCATCCCACCCCACCCCATGGATCTCAGCAGCCAGCTCTGAGCTGTTTGGTGGCACAATTCGGATCTGGGAGCTCCGCTGGATGCAGGGCCGCGTTTGGGCTTCTTCACACTTTTTTTTTTTTTTTTTTTGCAATTAATGGGACAATTAATTGGTGCAGATGGCGGCACACAGCGCGTGGTGAGAAGAGCCATTGGGCACCAGATGGCGGCCAGAACCAAAATGCACAAAATAATAATATTAAAAAAAGAGGGGGGGGGGAGGGGGAAGGGGAAGGAGAAGACCACCGGAGCTGCTCCAAGTGATTACAGCCCTGTGTTAATTACAGCACTGATGAGTCACACGCGGATCCCACGTGGGCGGAACTCTCTGGCAGTGAGGGATCCGATGGGGTTAATTGGGGCTGGGTCGTTTGGGGACAATGGGGACAATGGGGACGAGGGGCTGAGGGGCGCCGAGGAACGGCCATCGTTATCCCAGATTAATTCCTTTGCAATTCCCATCCTGGGAACGCACACCGCCACGTCGCCCTGCTCACAGATCTTCCCACGTTGGAAGGGATCCGTTCGGATCAATGGGGTCAAATATGGGAAGCACTCACTGGGATCAACGAGTAGGTGAAGTATGAGAAGGGACCGCTGGGTTCAGCAAGGGCACCGAACAGAGGAAGGGATCCATTGGGATCAATGAGGTCATCGAACATGGGAATGGAGTCATCGGGATCAGCGAGGTCATTGAGTATGGGAAGGGATCCATAGGGACCAACGAGGTCATTGAATGCAGGAAGGGACCCACTGGGATCACGGAGGTCATTGAACATGGGAAGGGTCCCACTGGGATCAAGGAGGTGATCAAATATGAGAGGGGACCCATTGGGATCAAATATGGGAAGCACCCATTGGGATCAATAAGGTCACTGAATATGGGAAGGGTCCCACGGGGATCAATGAGTTCACTGGAATACAGGAAGGGACCCATTGGGGTCAGTGAGGTGATCAAATATGGGAAGGGACCCATTGGGGTCAGCGAGGTGATCAAATATGGGAAGGGACCCATTGGGGTCAGCGAGGTGATCAAATATGGGAAGGGACCCACTGGGGTCACCAAACCCAATCCAACGTGTGGAGGAAGGTGGGAAAATGCGACCTAAATTCCCCTACCAACGCCAAATCCGCCTGCTGCCCCCCTCAGACAGGGTGGGGGGGTTATGGGGTCAGTGAGATGCACGTGGAGACAGAATTGGGGGGCGAGTAGGACACAACGTAGGAGCACTGAGGGGGACTGGGGAGCACAGGCTGGGCGCTATGGGGTGACCACCTCGGGTTCCTCCAAAGCCCCAATGCTTTCACCACACACACGCGGTGCTCCCAGTGCTCCCAGCACAGCCCTCCAGTGGGGAAACTGAGGCACGGGGCAGAGCCCCTCCCCGCGATGCACCCTATGGGCCCCTTCCAACTGGGGCTGCCCTACGATCCGATGATCTCCACCGCCCCACATTGGGGGAAGGGGGGGGCGGAAGCCCCCACTGCTCCCCACTGCTCCTCCCTGGGCCCCCCCGAGTTCTCCCCTGCCGGTTCTCCCCTTCGGAGCTCTACCAAAGCTGTTTTCATGGCTGTGGGGGGGCTGTGTGTGTGGGGGGGGGTTGGCTGCCACGTGGGGCTTTAACTCTGCTATCCCCCAAATCCTCTTTGCGCCACCAAACGCAGCCGCTCTGCTCTGTTGTGCCCGGTTTTACCATTTTCAGCCCCCCAAAACCCCACATCCCTTAAAGGGGGGGCAGAACCCCGCCCTGACCCCAAACCAGACCCTCGGGGGACGCAGGCTCCCCTCCTCCTGCATCGCACCCCCCTCCACCCCCCCAGGAGCTGCACCCCAGCAATGCCCTCGCATAGGAAAAGGGTCCCCCACCCCCAAGGTAACAACAGAGG